TTATCAGGAGATAAGAGGGGGACACTGGAAGGAGAGGATCAGAGAAGACAGGATCAAACAGCATTTTTACACAATGCAGATGATTAACCCCTTGAGGTCCACAGTGAGTATAACCAGCATGCTTTACTGTACACACAGACTGAGTTTACTGTTGTGGGTTTAGTAACACTTTGAGGAGGATGCAGGGGCGGACTGACAACTCATGGGGCCCCCGGGCAATAGGGGATTATGGGGCCCCTGTGTCCTTGCCCAAACTTAAAGCCTATGAAAAAGGTACCAGGGGCATTTCATGGGGCCCCCTACTGACCCCAGGCCCTCGGGCAGTGCCCGAGTTTACAAATGGTCAGTCCGCCCCTGGGAGGATGGTAACTTTTTTACATGACATCACATACGTGGGAGCCATGATCATGGTACAGCGCTCTGAAGGGATGGCAGACTCAGTATGCCGTCCTTTCGGAGCTCAGTGGGCATGTGCCGGTGACGTCACCAGTTGCAGTGTTAGAGAATATCTTGTAAAAGGTGCATGCTTAGGAGATATCCCTATACTTACAGGTAAGCTTACCTGTTGGCACAAATTTATAAAATTTACTAATCCCCCAGCCTCTGCTTCTTTAGTTTTGCAGCCTTCCCGAAGCTTCCCTTACAGTCAGGCTTTCCCCAGTAGAGCAGCCTGATGTGCTGGCGCACAGTCAGCTAGGAGCCCCATGAATGGGTTACTCAGCAACTCCTCCAGGGATTGATTGGCAGGTGAGGGGGTGGAAAGTCTAGCTTCAATCCAGTGCTGGTCACCCATGCTAGGGCAGGGGTAGGCAACCTGCGGCTTTCCAGCTGCTGCAGGACTACAAGTTCCATCGTGCCTCTGCAAGTCATAGCTGTAACTCAGTTTTGTAATGTTGCAATGCCTCATGGGAAATGTAGTTCCACAACAGCTAGAGAGCCCGCAGGTTGCCTACCCCTGTGCTAGGGCAATGTCTGGGCCTTTTGGTCCTGCTTTGGCCCTGCAGGCAGTCAGGGGATTGGGGTGATGTCTACAGCGCATGGCCAACCCCCCCCCCCCCCCCCCCCCATCTGGAAGTTCAGAGGAGCACGGCTGGGGTGTAAAGAAAAAGCTGCCTTGGAGAATCCACTGTGAGTGGAGGAGGGTCAGATGAAGGGCACAATCTCCCTTCCTCCATTCAGAGTGCTTTGTATTCTCTGAAAGAATATTACAAGTTCTGTGAAGAAGGGGGAGGGGCGGGCAGCGCTGATGTTTTGCAGCGGCTACACTTTGCAGCGTAAAAAGAACACAACAACTGTCAGTGGAGGGAAGATTCTACAGTAAGTATCTAGGGCCTGGCCTATCCACTACCTGATTTTTAACTAACTTCTTCCCCTTCCCCAATCTTAGCTTTGTAAATTTCAGAACTGGATGGACAGAAGTATACATCTCGCCAAAGAACCGTCTGTTACACCATTAACAATCGCTGCTTCTCAGCGTGCATTGCATCCAAGCAGTGATTACATGCTATTTTGTCTGAATGCATGCTGTGATGTTGTGATTGTTAAAGGTGTAACAGAGTAAGTTCTCTGAAGTGTAACAATACACCTTCCCACTCAGAGAACATCATCCCAGCATCCCTGGTAGTGGTGAAGGATACACAGTTTATACCAAGTAAAACTTCTCCCATAGATGTATGTATGATGATATCCTGACACTTCTGGGAATGTTGGAGGCTCTGCATTTTAGGGAGACCTGCCTGCCCCCCCCCCCCTTATCCCCCCTTCATGTCTGAGGTTTTATACCTAACTTCAAAACATAATTTCTCCAATAGCAGGTTGGACCCTTCATTTTTGGGAACATTTTTCTGATTTTGTGTGGAGCCCTGCCTTGGAGAACTGTTGCCTATCACATGGTTATTAATTTAGAAAGGATGGGGGGTATAAATATCTGCGCACACTATAAATATACACATGCAGTATTTTTTTTTTTTTTTCATTTTGGATAGAGCATGGGAGGGTTAAAACCCCTGGCATTTTTTTTTTCCCCACACCATCTGTGTTCCATTGTAGAGATTTCCCTTCACTTTCTGTCCCAAAGCCAAACAGGAAGTGAAGGAAAATCCCTTCAGATTAGGGAATTCCCTTGTCACCCCACATCTTTCTGAGATTTTTTTTTTTTTTGGGGTGAGGGAGGAGGGTAGAGGGGGTCTACTGTGGGGGTGTCCTGGGGGGTAGAGGAGGTGGTTATAGCTGGGGTGGAGCTGTGCCTTCTGAAGGGGTTTTCTTTTAGGGATGGGGGTCTGGTTTTTGGGTGGGCATGTATGGTATGTGCATTGTCATTTTTTACGCCCGATAAATATATCCTCCTACTCTCTAGCTCCCTTGTCTCCTCCTCCTATGCTCATTTCCAGGACTTCTCCAGAGCTACCCCCATCCTCTGGAACTCTACCCCAATTTATCAGACTATCGCCTACTCTGCTCACTTTTAGGTGATCTCTGAAAACCTATCTCTTCAGGGAAGCCTATCCTGCCCTTAGCTAATACTGGAATCTTCTACTCTTCCAACCAGTCCATCCCCCACAGTTACTACCTTTTGTACCACTAGCCCTCCCTCTTAGATTGTAAGCTCCAAGGAGCAGGGCCCTCAAATCCCTCTTGTATTGTTGCTGTATTGTCTCCCGTTATATTGTAAAGCGCTGAGCAAACTGTTGGCGCTATATAAATCCTGAGTAATAATAATATATCCTGTTCATTAGCCATTAAGGTGCTGTATCCTTTCTTTCTTGTGGGTTTTTTGAAAGTGAGGGAAAATCCCTCTAAATTAAGGGAATTCTTTGGGGACCCCCAGGCCACCAGAACTAGTCTTCCCGTTGGAATATTTCCTCTTATTACTTTTCTGGGGACAACCCAAAATTTGTTTTTTTTTTTTTTTTTTTTTTTTTCCTTTCACTTCCAGTGAAACAGAACAAACAGGGTGACTCTCCTTAACAGGGGCACAGACCACAGAAAAATAAAAAAATTAATGTGTTCTAATCCTTCTGCACTCCATCCAAAACTAAAAAAAAAAAAAAGCCACAGGATGGGCATTACAGACCACCAGTACTGAAACCAGTCAACAGTTCTTGAGATAAAAATATTACAATAGCTAAGTTATCTGAAACTTTTTGTTACTGTCAGTGGCAGATGATCTCTAACTTGTAAACTGGATGATCAGCGATGTCCCAACAGTAGAAGTTTTTTTTGTTTTTTTTTTTGTTTTTTTTAGCTGCTGTAAAACTGAGCGTCTTAGTGTGACATTGTAAATCCGGCTGTCGGTATACATTTATTGGTAACATAACAAACTTTATGTGCCAAAGAACTACACATCCTGTCTGCTTTTTAATTCCTTGCCAGCACATTTGCATTGAACGGCTAGCTTAGGTTGTTATTGAACTATAGTCTCCGCATGGCAGTTATGTTATAGATGTAAGTATAGCATACCCAGAATGTTGGCTCTGACACTATGTTCACATATCTGCGGCTGTGCGGGATGCGTCTTGCGCGGGCATGAGAGCCCATTCATTGAATGGACTCCCGTGCCATGGGACACGCAGGGAAAAAGTCCCTGTACTTCTTCGGAAATCGCAGCCTGCACGGGAACTAAGGTTCCCAGTACAGTTGTGATTTCCAGTGCGGGGGGGGGGGGGGGGGGGGGTGCGTGCCATTAGACTTAAAGGCACCCACCCACGGGTCCTGCATTGCGGGTGGTGCGGCTGCAGGTATTTTTGTGCGGGTCTGCAGCGGCACCACCTGCACAGATGTGAACCAAGAATTAATGTAGAACTGCATTCCCAGCGTGATGTTTCGCCAGACCTGTAATAATTCATGGAAGAGGATGAAAGTTTAAATTTGATGTTTGGGGGGTAACAGACGTATTTTGTGCAACAACTACATGAACCAGTAGATGGCAGTGTTTATAAATTTGTAGCTGCATCTATGTTTATACTATCTTCTACCTGAATATAGTTCCTGTTTCCTGTTAGAGAATCAGCAGATAGTACACTGTCTAAAATGTGTCTATCTGTTCTGTAGGGCTACGTACAGAATCTGTAACAGAGACCCATGCAGGGCAGGTTCACTTGTTTAGCAGCCTTCCCAGCAGTATGTTTGGTTTGCTCCATTGCTCTCTTTGGCAGCAAAGATCAGAGGCTGTGTAAAATTTAAGTTAAGTGAGGCTTACACATGGTTGAGGAATCTCTTCCTTCCCCCAAGTGGTAGCACTGCATCAGGGGAGGACTGACAATTCATGGGGGCCCCCAGGAAATAGGGGATCATGGGCCCCTATGTTCTTGCCCAGACTAAAAAAAAACCTATAAAATGGTACCAAGGGCATTTCATGGGGTCCCCTACTGACCCTGGGCCCTCGGGCAGTGCTCGAATGGTCAGTCCGCCCCTGCACTGCGTGTATGTATGACCATTCACCATACATTAGCTTTTTCACATGCTCATCATACACTGAAGTACAAGCCATTTCTTTTCGCTTCCAGCAGCTGATTAATGCCAGAGGTCATTGTCCAGAACAAGTGTTTAGATCAGAAGTTCTGATTTCACTGGCTGCAAGTTTGCTCCAGATTTGTAAGTCAACAAGTACTGAAACCAGAAACAGCCAGGTCACAGGTATTTTCATAAGGATGTCAGCCGCTGTTATGGTTCTTTTAGGTTTCCTTTAATTGTAATATAATGTCAGTTTTGCTTTGTTTATATATCTGTGTGCAGTCATATACAGCCTGCGCTTTAATATGTTTCACAGATTTTTTTTATTGGTCTTGACAATTGTTTGCCTTGCACAGTAAAGTAACTCGGTCATAGTGCATATGTAGTTGACTCTTCCTGTGTAAAAGTTTAGATTTGAAGGGAATGCTCCCACTTTGGTGCAAACTTGTGATCAATGCTCTCCTTTTTGTCTTTTGTACAGATAAGGGGGGGTGGTCGTCCGTTCTCTGCCTGGCCAGGCAGCCTAATCCACCAAGTGTTGGTTGCAAATGAGAATGGAAGACATGTCTCTATCTGGCCTGGATAACAGTAAACTAGAGGTAAGGATGAATCTCTGTCAATTGACTGTTTGGGGTTGAGGGGCGTGCCTTCATTGCTTGCCAGGTCTTCTCTAGTAGCTTAGCAGTAGGATTGAGACCTGCCCAACCTCATCAAAAACACACTGTCTCATTTTTGGTTGGTATGGTCCTTGAAGCGGACAATTGGTCTCCTTTTTGTGCTTCTTGGTCAATTCCTTCACATATATATATATATTTTTTTATGTACATCTTCAGGGGATGGCTGCCTCTTCCTGTTTCTTCCAGCCACCTCCTTGGTGGTGTGGTACATGCTCATCGTCAGGCGGTCGGCTGCAAGAACTGGAAGAGGTAGACAGCTTCTGATGACGTAAGCAAAGAAGATGGTAGTGTCAGATTACGGAAGGACAATGCAAGATTCATATATGTTATGAGGATGACCCGACAAGCATGGTGAGAGGGGATCAATGTAAATTTTAGCAGTAGAAGAGCCATTTTATCTGTGAAGCAAATGTTTGATTTTGTAATTTTATCATGCTAAGTTTTAGGGAGTTATGTGTTACCTTTACGTTTGCAGTATCTGAATACCACCTATGTTAAAGTGGAATTCCAGATGCCACCTAACTAATCATAAATATGTGCCCCCCCACTAACACCTATTCTTCTTAACCTGTGTAAGAAATATCTGCACACATACCTATTTCAGGCTGCAATGGGCCAATCATGCGATCCACCTCCCCTGTGTCAGTCAGTGGCTGCAAGGGAAAGGAGGGAGTGCCGAAAACTGATGGGCCATTGAAGCCTGTGGGTGACGTCCCAGGCATTACCAGCTGTTAGCGGGTAGATCATGTGACTGGAGCAGCCTGAAATAGGTAAATGTACAGGTCGTTCTTGTAAAGGTTTAGTCAGAATTGTTGTTCGGAGTGGGGAGGCAACATTTTTTAAGATTAGCTAGGTTTGGCTGGAAAACTACTTTTAAGTGCACCTTTCACTTTGACTATTCAGGTCAAAGTGACAGATTCTCTTGGGAGACCCGCCTGCTGCACTGTTCACCTACTGGAACCCTGAGTCTAATATCTGTGAAAGCTCCATGGTGCTTTGTTAGAGCCTACACAGGATGACCTGCTCTCCTTGTTCATGCATTGATTACCTACATTTAGGGAGAGAGATTGCCCTGGGATACAGGTAGTTTGTATCCAAGCAGGATCCTCTGTCCCTAACCTTGGGTGATCTCTCCATGTGTGCATGCAAAGAGCTGTGGTCATTATCAACCTCATTGCTTTGCACAGATCCAGCGTCCACAACTGTTTGCAGCCACCTGGCATTCCAACAGCGCTGCATTATTGCTGCATTTACTCACACGTGAAAATGAGACCCAAAGATATTGTGGTTAGGCATTATGGAAACTTTTCAAAGTGCTAGGTGGGAGTTCATATCCTCTGCATGCCTATGAGATCATTTTGATGAACCCTAACTCCTCAGGAAGACATAGCTGGGCTCAGGTTGGGATACTTGATTGAATGTTTTGCTGCAGTAGTGTACGCTGTGCCTCCACTGACCTTTACTGTCTGGGGCAATAGATAAGATGTAGTTTATATTCCTGATTACGTGTAATTAGACAGATGGATAGCTTGTGCTTCTTACACTACCAGTTTTTGTTGCAATTTATTATCCCTTGTTTCTTAATCCCAATGTTGCAAATGGCACTCAGTTCTCTTTGCTTGAAAAGATTAAATGTTTTGGTCATACATGAAAATGATTTGTTTTGAGATCATCCAAGTGAACAGTACTGTGTACACCTACAAAGCAGCCCATCACAAACTGAGAGATGGATAATATGTGTCATGAGGACTGGGAATAATGGTCCCCTGTATGTGAAAGGAATGCTTGTACAAACCTGGAAAGGTGTCATTATTGAAGGCTCCTTCTGAGAATGCCGGTCATCTGTCCACTGTGCTGATCCTCTTCAGTGTTTTTTACCAGACACTGAAGTTTAATTTTTCTCATCCATTTGGCTTCAATACTTTCAGAGTTACCAACCCAGAAAGAGTAAGCAAGACTAAGTGCGGCATCTAGAGATTGCAAAAGGAGGTCAGCAATGGAAGCCCCTCTATCAAGATGGGTCACCTTTTTACTTTAAAGCAGCTTTAAGTATAGGCATGAGATGCTGGATGGGCAATATGATTGCTACATGATCCTAAAACTGTTTCTTTAGAACCTATATATTCATAAACTGAGCATCCTCTCCGGGAGCAGTATCCGTCTTCTGGGATAATCCATTTTATACAAGTGATTCGTATCTTTAGAGATAGGTTGAGTATGGGGTCTATACAGAGCTCATGTATTGAAATCTGATTCTCTTCTGATCCAAGTGTAATCACATCATCTAATTTTGGCAGGCACCCTTAGATATAGTAAAGGAGAACTATATGCACTGCTAAAAAAAAAAAAAAAAAAATTAAAGGAAAGCTTTTTTTAATCGGAGTTTAACATCAAGTCAGTTAAGCTCCTGGGATATTGATCTGGTCAGTTAAGTAGCAGAGGGGGTTGCTAATCAATTTTAGCTGCTTTGGTGTTATTAAAATTAACAGGTGCACTAGATAGGCAACACTGAGACGACCCCCAAAACGTGAATGATTTAACAGGTGGAGGCCACTGACATTTATTTATTTTTTCCCCCTACTCATCTTTTCTGTTTTTCACGTGGGGGCCATACAAACTACTGAGGACCATTTTAAGTTGCTGCAATGACATTTCAGTAAAATGGACTAGCCTGCTGCATAATTTTTTTTCCTTTGATTTTCGGGGTGTCTTTGAATTCAGTCCTCTGTGGGTTGATAATTTTCATTTACATCAAACAATGGGACATCCTTATGTTCCTAACACATCACCCCATCCATGTCAGTATAGAGATCCAGCAGGAGATTTTTCCCCATTGAGATCTGATGTGTTCAAAGTGTTCCTTTTCAATTTTTTTTTTTTTTTTTTTTTTTTTTTTTTTGAGCATTGTATTTGTATAGTTAAAGAGGAGCTCCAGTCTCCTGTGACAATTCAGAAGAGTTAATAGCTACAAAAACTATAGCTACTGACTTTTAATAAGCTGCCACTCACCCGTCCCACAATCCAGCGATGTGCTGACCCCAGCCTGTTTTATCTCTCATCTTCTGTCTTTGGTGCTGGCATCTTAACTGTGTGGGCACCTGGCTTCGACCGCTTGCGGTGATCAGAGCGGAAGTGGGTGCAGGTACCTGTCAAAATCTGGTACCTGCTGCCCCTCCCTAAAAGTTACATTAAACCCCCTGGCGGTATTCCCTAGTGTAGCTCGGGTGAAAGTTTCAGTACCACAAGCGGTAACCCCGAGATACACTCGGGCTTACCATGCAGCGCTGCTCCGGGATCTGTTCACTTATCTTGTCCTGCGCTCCCGCGATGCCCCTCCTGCAGTGTCCCCTGTAATGTCCTCCTGCGGCTGCCGGCATCTGTCTTCCGGGTTCCGTCCCCTGCGAGTGTCGGGACGTACGGGGGACGGAACGGCGGGAAATTTAAAAATGACAAAGTGACATTCACTAAATACACTAAAATCGCATAGTATAACATTCCTGTATCAAACCATTTCACATACATTTTGTCCCGAGTGCTTTGTCCCGGCGCCCTGCCTGCATTTTTACTGTTCTTTCTGCCTGGAAACTGAGAAATGTCCATGGCGTCCAAAACGTCCCTTTAGGTCAAAATCTGTTTTAGACCGGCTAGAGAACAGCGATAGTAAATCAGAACCACTTGCAGAATTGAGTGATAATGATTCGTGGGGGAAATTTTGTCATCAGACACTGAAAACGATTTTGCGACTTTGCTCAGTGATGTGCGAACTTGAAGCTATATTTCAAATTTCAGTGTTTTTTTTTGGTTTGATTACATTGTTGAATTAAATTTATTATTATATTATTTATTAAATTATAGTTTTGATTTCGTGTTTCAAATTTTAACATACCCAGGATGTTTACTAGACTCTTGTTTGGACAGATTTCAGTGAGTTATTCCTAAAAATTACAGGCCTACAATAAAAAAAACAAAACATTTCCATGCAAAAAAAATGTACCGCTTTGATCACAGAAATATTGACCGCTAGGGAAGTTAAGGGAGAGACTGTGACCTTTAAAGCAGAACTTCCCCTTTTGGGTGGAGCTCCGCTTTTTAACTTTTTGAATCCCAAATTGGGTAATTAAAAAAAACAAAACAAAAAAAAAAATCTATTCTCGTAAATGTTTAAGGCATTGATGAATGAAGAGAAGATATCACAATATGGTAATCCACATTTCCATCCTCAACAGAGCAAAGTGCAGTAATCATAATTGAGTCTGCCAGCCACTGATCTGTGGTTTTTTGGATCCTGTGTGTGAGGAATCGAGGTGCTAGAAAGCAGACATAGAAAATAGTGAGTTTGTGCTCATAGGGTCACACCCTTCTAGCACTTCCTGAATCTTTTCTGTTATGCAGGTCAGTACAATCAGGGCTCTTCTTGTAACTTTCCTTCAGCATTGTTACACCCGTTTCCATTTAAAGTACATTAAAATGTGTAAACGAATAGTCTCACTATGTGCAGCCCCTGCGTCTTAATTGTGGCTTTGAACTGGATCTAGTGTTGTGATTGGCTTATACAGCATTTAAAATGGAACTAGAGGCAAAACTTTTTTTTTTTTTTTCTCCATTTTTGGATAGAGTAAGGGAGAATTCTAACCCCTGTCTGTGTCGGTTTTTTTTTTTTTTTCCACCTTCAATTATATGTCCCATAGCCAAAACAGGAAGTGAGGGGAAATCTCTGCAAATTAAGGGAATCCCTTGGGTCACTTGAACTAGTGTCTCCTCCTTTTGGAAGAATACTTTTCTGGGGACAACCCAAAATTCGGGATTTTCTATTGCTTTCACTTTCAACGTTAATGGGTAAACAGGGCAAATGGGGTGAATCCCCTTTAATGAGGGCACAGACCGCAATAAAAACTTACAGGGGTTCTAGTCCCTTGCTCTATTCAAACTTAAAAAAACTTTTTGCTTTTAGTTCTTTAATATAAACTTTTTTTGTAGTTTGGCATGGCTAATCATTGGTATAAATGAGCACAAATACCTTGTGTGCGACTTTCACCATTTCTAATGATGGGGCACTATTCCTCCCACTGACATCAATGATGGGGCACTATTCCTCCCACTGATACCAATGATGGGGCACTATTCCTCCCACTGACATCAATGATGGGGCACTATTCCTCCCGCTGATACCAATGATGGGGCACTATTCCTCCCACTGACGCCAATGATGGGGCACTATTCCTCCCACTGACGCCAATGATGGGGCACTATTCCTCCCACTGATACCAATGATGGGGCGCTATTCCTCCCACTGATACCAATGATGGGGCACTATTCCTCCCACTGATACCAATGATGGGGCGCTATTCCTCCCACTGATACCAATGATGGGGCACTATTCCTCCCACTGACACCAATGATGGGACACTATTCCTCCCACTGACACCAATGATGGGACACTATTCCTCCCACTGACACCAATGATGGGACACTATTCCTCCCACTGACACCAATGATGGGACACTATTCCTCCCACTGACGCCAATGATGGGACACTATTCCTCCCACTGACGCCAATGATGGGACACTATTCCTCCCACTGACACCAATGATGGGACACTATTCCTCCCACTGACGCCAATGATGGGACACTATTCCTCCCACTGACGCCAATGATGGGGCACTATTCCTCCCACTGACGCCAATGATGGGGCACTATTCCTCCCACTGACGCCAATGATGGGACACTATTCCTCCCACTGACACCAATGATGGGACACTATTCCTCCCGCTAATATCAACTATTGAGCGCTATTTCTTTCAGTTATACCAATGATGGGGCACTTTCTCCCTCCACCTACTGACCATCAACCGTGAGGCCATGTGTGGTGTTTTTTTTTTGTTTAAACCCACACTGCCCCCATTTACCCCCCCCCCCCCCCCAAAGTCTGAAGGATAGTAAACTCGCCCTTTGTTTTGAAAAGTCTGGAGACATCTGTATTAATGTGTATTTCCTGAATATTTTGTAGCTGTTTGTAGGACTGAGCAGTCAGGGCAGTTGGCCAACGTAGTGCAATACATTATCTGAACGACGGACCATCACACCTGTATGAGCTACTTGTTCATCCAGTCCAAACCCCTGTCCCCCACTTCCCTTTTTTTTTTTTTTTTTCCCCAGCTACAATGCCCTCCACTCCTCCGGGAAGGCTTTGCACAAGATTGATGGAATTTTGTATGTGTTCAGCCAAAAGGTGCTGATCTCAGAGGAGAAGATCTGGCTTATAGGTGGAGTTCTGATATGAACTAGATTGTAAGCTCCAAGGATCAGGCCCTCCTTTCCCTCTTGTATTGATCTGTATTGTTGCTGTATTGTCTCCCTTTATATTGTAAAGTGCTGAGCAAACTGTTGGCTCTATATAAATCCTGTATAATAATAACCATTGCCCATGCAGCACAGACCACTGTTAGTCACATGATTTGTGACTTGGTTCTGTGCACATTAAGGTGGTCATGAAATATTTGAGAATATAGGAGTGCTCAGAGGGTTTACTTATTTATTTCAGGTACTTATATAGCGCCGTCAATTTACGCAGCACTATATATATATATATTTTGCATTCACATCAGTCCTTAACCACTTCCAGACCAGACACTTTTACCCCCTTCCTGACCAGGGCAATTTTCAGCTTTCAGCGCTATCACACTTTGAATGACAATTGCGCGGTCATGCAACACTGTACCCAAATTAATTTTTTACCATTTTTTTTGAGACAGATAAAGCTTTATTTTGGTGGTATTTATTCACTGCTGGGATTTTTATTTTTTTTTGCTATGTAAATGTCCAAAAATTTTGAACAAAAGTGTTTTTTTAATAAAATTTTGCAAATAAATATTTCATCATAAATCTTTGCCAAAATGTATTCTGTTATCTTTTTAGTAAAAAAAAAAAAAAAAAAAATTAGTTTATAACCAAAAATTATTATTTTTTTTACATTTTTATTTTTTTTTATATTTTTTATTTATTTTTTTTTACATACTGTCACCCTAGCAGTACAGTGTTACCATGGTGACACTGTACTACTTGTGGGGGGTGATGAAGATTTTTTTTTTTTTTTTACAATGATTGCTTTTACACCCATACAGGATGTAAAAGCAATCATTTCTCTTTCTGTCTGCATTCCTGCACTCATTGAGAAGCACTGAGTGAGCTGTGATTGGTCACAGCTTGTCACCTGGTACAAGCCTGTTGTGAATAGCCTTGTACCATGTGACCTCTGTGATCATTCACAGATTTCACACGTAGTAAGCAATGATGTCACAAGTGACATCTTGCTTACTACTTTGCATGTGATCACTGATTGGCCAATCGGTGATCACATGATCGGGACCTCGTACAGAGGTCCCGTCCGACGATCGGTGTTTCGCGATCGCGGTGCTGCGCGCTCCCAGGGAGCGTGCACAAGCAGGGTGCGGGAGGCCGTTCATAAACGGCTACCCGACCCTGTACTGCCACCGTCCGGCCGTTTATGTGCAATGGCCGGTCGGGAAGTGGTTAACCCTCAGGGGCATACAATCTAAGGTCCCTAACTCACATTCATATACTAGGGCCAATTTAGACAGGATCCAATGAACCTACCAGCATGTCTTTGGAGTGTGGGAGGAAACCGGAGTACCCGGAGGAAACCCATGCAGGCACAGGGAGAACATGCAAACTCCAGGCAGGAGGTGCCATGGCTGGGATTCAAACCAACGATCCTAGTACTGCCAGGCGGAAGTGCTAACCATTTAGCCCAGGCATGTCCAAAGTCCGGCCCGCGGGCCATTTACGGCCCGGGGGTCGGTTTAATACGGCCCTCCAACAGCCCTCCCTGCTCTGTGTAATGTGGCCCTCCCACAGCCCTCCCTTCTATGGCAGACAGTCTTCTGCTTGAGAGCAGAGGGCAGTGCGCATGCCTGACTGCGGCGCGTTCTCCCTGGTCTGTGTAAATGCGGCTGTCGCACGGCCCTCCCTTCTGTGGCAGACAGTCTTCTGCTTGAGAGCAGTGCGCATGCGTGACTGCGCCGCGCTGGGAGCGACAGAGGGCGGTGACGTCAGGGCCGGGCTTCTAGCGTGAAGTGTGTTTCTCTTCCCCTCCCGGCTGCCGAGCAGAGACTTCAGCTCCAGCTACCTTTTTCACCCTTCACATTAGTGCAGGTAAGTTTTTTTTAAATTTATTTTCAATACATTGTGAAAACTCAGCTGTCAGTTGATCTTAATGTTATGAAATGAAAAGTATGTCGTTTGCAATTAACTTGGCATAAAATAATTTATTTGCATTTAATTGTAATGGTTCAAAGAATGTTCGGAAAAATGTTCGGCCCTCCGCCATGTTCACTTCATCCAATCTGGCCCTCTTTGAAAAAAGTTTGGACACCCCTGATTTAGCCACTGTGCTGCCCTAATTAATTGGTTAAGTGATTTCCAGCCCATACTCTGGTGTTTGCAGACTATAAAACTGCCAAAAAAGGATCTACATGTAATTAAAGAAAAAAAACAAATCTGTGCCCAGTACATGGCTTTTGGTTGGGGCAGTAGTCCAAGTCACTGCGCCAGTCAGAACAAAATACTGTCAGTGAAGGTTACTGTACTGCAAACACTGGACAGGGACAGGGAAAATGATCAATCGGGTTGGCAGGCCGTGTTGCACCAGAGGATTGTAGATTGCCCTGGTCAGTTTTTTTCCTTTTCTCTAGCTGTGTCTGCTGCAGGAAGCCTGTGTCACTCGCATTCCATTGCTGGAGGAAGTGAAAGACAAATCCAGCTTTGCATAGTGATGCAACATTGGGCTTCATTGGAAACTACAAGAAAAGAGTGTCTGGTTTGATCATACCAGTCAGTCAAGTTATTTGTCATTCAGGCTGGAATCTGGTTGCTTGGGGCAACATGTGTGGTTTTTTTTCTTTTTTTTTTTTTTTTTTTTTCCCCATTGTCATGCATTGCAGTGCGATGGCAGACATAGGACATATCGCATTAATATAAGCAGGACCTTCGGGATTAGCACCTGCTTGCCACGAGATCCCCCTGTGCACCTACATGCTGTCAGGTCCCAAATGGGTAGGAGAGACCTGTGGCATGTATCTACCCAGCCTTCTAACCTACAGACTTGAATAAAGTGCACTTAACCCTTCATATATATTTCTTTTCTTTCTGCTATTACATCCTGTAGCCAGTAAAATAAATATTTCATACATTTACTCCAAAATAGCCATTCATTTTAACAGATACTGAAAGCTAAACACCATGCAGATATAAAATGCACAAATTAGTCCTTATGTAATTTTTTTTTTTTTTTTTAATGCAAGCCATGTACTTACTTCAGTTTGACTTGCAGTGCAATGAGCTTCCTGATTGGAGGAGAGAGCAGAGCAACAGTCTTCTGCTTCTCCTTTCACTGTCCAGTTGCAGTCTGGGATAGGAAAAGACTTGCTACTGAACTAAAACAGAGAAAACTCTGGCCTTTTCCCCAAACAGGGCTGTGTTCTGTGGTAAAACTGTGTAAATCTCAGGACTGGATGGACAGAAATACAAATTATTTGGCAGGTAAAACAGATCCCATGTATATATTCTGTGTATTTAATGGTTTGCCTGGCATTCAGTGTTAATATGTTTCAGGAAAAAAAAATGGCAATTCTATCTGATTTTGTAGTTTTTTTTGTTTTTGTTTTTTTTTGTTTGAGTTTGCATAGTTTTTGTTTTGTTTTTTTTTGTGTTTTTTTTTTTTTTCTTTTGTTTTCCTGCAATGTGTATGAAGTCTGCTTCAGTGTCCTAGCTTCTTCCATGATATTCCTGATCTTCTTTTCTCATAGGCCCTTGCTCATGATATTTACACTGACCTGGTGGAGGATACATGTTTGGGGTTAAGTTTTGAGGTTCACCGAGCTGTTAAATGTGGTTATTTCTTGCTGGATGAGACCGACCCTGAGAGCATGAAAGACTTTGGTAAGTCGCTAAACATGTGTCTTTTTTTCTGCACATAGTATGAAAAGGAGTTACCAATATCACTGTTAAGGGTTAGTGGGAATGATTTTTTTGTATGATGAGGGAAAGATAGGCAAAACGTTTACTTTTGGAAAAAGTCGGGGATTATAACCCTTGTCAGTTTGTTTGCCATCTGTATCCTATTAGGGAGATTTTCGTTCACTTCCTGTCCCATAGCAAAAACAGGAAGTGATGGAAAATCCATGCAAATTAAGGGAATTCCACGGGGGGGGGGGGGGCAGATCACCAGAACTAGTGTCCCCATTAAAAACATTTTTTCCTCTATTACTTTTCTGGGGACAATCCAAAATGTGGGAGTTTTTTTTTTTTTTTTTTTTTTTTTACTTTCACTTTGGATGATTATTATTATATAGGATTTATATAGCGCCAACTGGATGATCATGGTAAAGGGGACAAATAGGGAGGAGGGTGAATCGACCTAATAGAGGACACAGGCTGCAATAAAAAACGTGACAGGTGTTCTATCCAAAACTATAAAAAATGTTGCCTTTGGATCTACTTTAAGGCCTCGTTCACATGGTGTACAATAGGTTGTACCCCGTGTGAGGGCCAAGTGTGTCCATACAGGGATGCACTGGCACCCCATCCATTTCAATTTGGACATGGCAGATGCATGGACACGGCCGCTGCTCCCAATTTCACAGCTGTGTGGGTATGCGGTCTCAAATGTAGACTGTGTACTGCACCCACTCACGTGGCTGTCAGATTGGGAGCAGCGGCTGTGTCTGTGCAGCTGCTGCATCTTAATTGAAATGAATGGGGTTGCCTGCACGGGGATACACGGAACATCCGCACGTCCCTGTGAGGACAAGCACTGGCACTCCCATCTTTTTCAATTTGGACATGGTAGATGTATGGACACAGCCCCAATTTCACAGCTGTGTGCATATGGGTATGTGGTCTCACATGTAGACCGTGTGCATGCAGTGTACTGCACCCACACTCACATGGCTGTCAGGTTTGGAACAGCGGCTGTGTCTGTGCAGCAGATGCATTGCAATTGAAATGAATGGGATACATGGAACATCTGCACATCCCTGTGTGGGCAAACACTGCCCTTACACAGGCGTATGTTATAGTATGCCTGTGTCAACAAGGCCTAAAGGAATGAACACTTTAGTGTTTTCCCTGCACCCATGGCATAGTCGTGTTGGGTTCCATTCACCAGGCTGAAGGTAATGGGAGATCTACTGTTGCTTTTGAGTCATTTGATATTTTCCAGCAGTATTGGGTTCTTACCATGAGTGGTTGCATAACTACTGACCTCCTGACTGAATGTGTATGCGGTGAAACTGTTACATCTATCAACCAAGTAAAAAAGTAGGACTATCCAGTTCAACTTGCCAGCCTACCCCAGTCTAATCACGGCTATTGTCGGCCAGGAACATGGATATGTATAACTTATCAACAGAGGGGGATAAGAAAAGCCAGTTCAATCTGCCAGCCAGTTGGCCAACTATCAAAAACCAAATTAACCTATCTAGAAACATGCGTTTAAGGACAGGGGTTTAGTTAGCACACATCTGCAAATACATACGTAAGCCACAGAGCCACGTCACGGCACCCTGAGTATCTGTGGTCCTAACTCTATATATCTTGAGTCCTCACAATGGAGGCACATGCATTTAAATGGTTAGAAACAAGGGCAGGTGAACCTGAGGGAGCCCACCCCTCATTAAGGTCATGGGAGTGCACCTGACACCCAGCATGTAGGACAACGGCAGCCAGGGTGTCCAATGCACCCACTGAACCTCCACAATTAATATACAAAGAAAACACTGGCCACCTACCCAGGTCTATAACTGGCTTTTTAAACCGTGAACATGGAAGGCGTCGCAAAGTAAAAAAAGCCAGTTATAGACCTGGGTAGGTGACCAGTTTTTCTTTGTATGTTAATTTTGGAGGTTCAGTGGGTGCATTGGACACCCTGGCTGCCGTTGTGCTACATGCTGGGTGTCAGGTGTGCTCCCATGACTTTGAGAGGTGGGCTCCCTCAGGTTCACCTGCCCTTGTTTCTATCCATTTAAATGCATGTGCCCCCATTGTGAGGACTCTCAAGATTTATAGAGTTAGGACCACAGATACTCAGGGTGCCGTGACGTGGCTCTGTGGCTTACGTATGTATTTGCAAATGTGTGCTAACTAAACCCCTGTTTTTAAACGCATGTTCTTGGGTTAATTTTGGTTTTTGATAGTTGGCCAACTGGCTGGCAGATTGAACTGGCTTTCTTATCCCCCTCTGTTGATAAGTTATACATATCCATGTTCCTTGCCGACAATAGCCGTGATTAGACTGGGGTAGGCTGGCAAGTTGAACTGGTTAGTCCTATTTTTTTTTACTTTCTGACGCCTTCCATGTTCACTGTTTTTAAAAAGCCAGTTATAGACCTGGGTAGGTGACCAGTGTTTTTTTTTTTTTTTTTTTTTTTTTTTTTTTGTACATCTATCAACCAATCACAATCTCCCCTGTATGTTTTTAGTATAGTATAGGAGAGTCGGATGGTATGTGCCCAAACTGTGATGGGGGCACAGGAAAGTCTCCCTCCTGGACAATTCTAAAATAAGAGATGTTGCGCTTGTGGCCCTAAATGTGTATTCTTTACCATGCAGACATCGATGAGAGCAGAGTCTGCAGATGATTCACATGGTGGGTATTCTATAACCACCTGCTCACCTTTCATGCCTGGGACCCCTCACATCCCTTCATTGCCTTTCATGTACCTGCTAGGGCAGGGGTAGGCAACCTGCAACTCTCCAGCTGTTGCAGGACTACAAGTTCCATCATGCCTCTGCAAGTCATAGCTGTTACTGTCAGTTTTGTGATGTTACAATGCCTCATGGGAAATGTAGTTCCACAACAGCTAGAGAGCCGCAGGTTGCCTACCCCTGTGCTAGGGGAAGAGTGAAGGGGAATACTATAGAAAGTTAGCTGAGGGGCTGCTGACATCACATTCAAGATGGCGATGCCCAGCAGCAGTCTCTGGTCATTTGAATGTATACACAATGGAGGCTGTTATAGGTAAATTAAAATGCATTAAAGATGTTAAATGTACATATATTCTTATAGGAAGATTGTTGAAATGAATGGTCTAGTCTGGTGACAAGGGTCTGCTTAATGTTGTGGCTCCCTAACCATTTCATTTTGGTTATTTAGCGCATTGTGTCCTTTTTCCTGTTTGTCACTCCTTCTTTTTTTTTTTTTTTTTTTTTTTTTTTATTTATTTGTTCTCCCCACGCTTCAGAAATCATAGACCAGCCTGGTGTGGACATCTTTGGTCAGGTTTATAACCAGTGGAAGAGCAAAGAGTGTGTGTGTCCAAATTGCAATCGCAGTATAGCAGCCTCCCGCTTTGCCCCTCACCTTGAGAAATGTCTTGGCATGGGTCGAAACAGCAGCCGCATCGCAAATCGCAGGTACATGGGAGGCTCTTATAAGTTCAGTTTTGGGTAGTGTCTCTTCCCCCTCTTCCCCCTCTTCCCCCTCTTCCCCCTCTTCCCCCTCTTCCCCCCTCTTCCCCCTCTTCCCCCTCTTCCCCCTCTTCCCCCTCTTCCCCCTCTTCCCCCTCTTCCCCCTCTTCCCCCTCTTCCCCCTCTTCCCCCTCTTCCCCCTCTTCCCCCTCTTCCCCCTCTTCCCCCTCTTCCCCCTCTCTTCCCCCTCCCTAACTCCAAACTACTTGCCCTCTGTTAGCTTGAGTCCTTTCTCTCCCAGTTATGAACTACTTTAGGTAAACTTTTGAATCTGTATTTTCACTTTATTGTAAAAACAATGTAGATAATACTTTTATTTTTTGCCTCAGGTCGAAACTTGGTTGTATATAAGGCATTCAGGCATTCCTTTCTCTCCAATTGGAGATTAAAGACCAGTTCCAGGAATGGTGTATTTTTCCATAATTGTCCTGCTTTGACCACTGTAACTATGCATATATCATACCTGGCTTATACCCCTGGAACACAGAATCGCTGAAGTGATCTCTCTACTGCTCCAGTGATCTCCACTAGCTTCTGGGATCTGCTGTAAGCAGTTGCTTACTTAACACAGAAGGTCACCTGCTCGGCACAGGCGCCATTTGAAGAATGTTACATTTTCTGAATGAATGCAAAGTGTTCTTGGATTGGATGAGGTGGGGCAGGGATGTTGCGCTTTCCTCTTTTTCCAATTCAAGGATGTTTAGAAAATACAAATCATTCTCTGAATGGTGGCCGTGCTGAGCAGCTGACCACCACTGTAATGAAGGATAAGTTCATCTTTCGTGACATGTTACACCCATATGCAGGATGTAACATAACATGTTACTGTAGCACTGGCCCCTGCACATCACCCCCACCTTCCCCTCCCTGAGGTTCGAGCAGACAGATTACACTGACCGTTTGCAGGAGACCTGCATGGCACCAGTGTTCTGCTGATTGCTGGTGCAAAGCTTTCCAGGCTCCTAAAAGAAAATGGTAAATGCATATTTCTTTTACCTGCAAACAATATGCATTTATTATTTTTTGTTAAAAGGTGAACTTATGCTTTAACCCCTTGGCGTCGGTGCTCCTGGCCCTTTAAGGGTTTCAGAAGCTGGGGGGCGGGGTTTAGGGTCATGTAACACGCTGTCACAGCGGTCACGTGATCGAGAAAGGTCCTGATCGAAAGAGGAGATTGGGACCTTTCCGTGAGTACCAGACGTGTGCTGGGATCGCGCAGGGCGCACGCTATCAGCACATATGTATATATATTTTTTTTAAATAGAATGCAAATGTGCGGACGCTCAGCGTTTAGGCCCAGATGCCGGGAGGCCGCACATTTGCGTTAGGCCGGCGCCAAGAGGTTAAGAAAGCATCAGGCTGGCCATTTGGCACGGGACCCAGGAGCTAGTTGAGATCACTGGAGTAACCGTGTCTACTTCAGTGATTCTAGGGGTATAGGCCAGGTGTGGTGTGTATATACATAGTTACATTGGTCCAAGCTTGACCAGTATTCCATGCCTGCAATTCTTCTTTTAAGCCCTTTAACATGTCATTCAGCTCTCAAATGATAGTACCTTGATATTTTACAGTATGACGGGGTAGGAGGCATCAATGGGAGTGATTCCACGCACTCATGGCTTGCCCTGTATACAGAGTAGGCTTAGGATCCACCAATTTAATAATGTTTATGTGCGTTACTGATATGGCAGATTGACTTTGGCATTTTGTATTCCTTTTACAAAAAGTTTTATTGTAGATGAAGCAGAGATAAACAAACATTCGGATCACAGATTCAATGGCCATCAAATATAAATTGTACTGGATAAATGGAAACCAATTTAAATCATACATTGATAAAGGCATAAGTTGAAAAGAAAAATTTTACATAGGTACTTCATAAAAACAAGGATAAGGGAAAGAGTTGGTGAGGAACTATTAGCGAACTTTTGAAGGTCCATAATAATGTGAGTTCAAAAGAAAGTTTTGCTGCATCAACATTATGCAAAACAAGACGGGCACAAAAGGAGACCTTTCTAAGAAATGATACCTGTTCCAAACCCTAGGTACATAAAAGAAGTCTGGGGTACATAGTACTGCAGATGTAGCACATAAAACAGGAAACTCAATCTGTAAAATATGATTAAGAGCAGCTTGGAAAGGAGATTAGAAAAGGACAAACAGTATAGAGACAGACAACAACAAAACAAAAAAAAAAATCGAGAGGGGCTCCTAGGCGATCACGACAGAATCCATCCTCAGGTCGATAGAAGGGACTGGTCAAATCTAGAAGGTTGAGCTATATCCAGGGCATTTTGTATTCTAAATACTTCATGCTAATCTTCATTGGAAATTTTAACCCAGTCCCATGGCCAAAGTTTTCATTTGGGGAAAAATTACCATTAATGGTAAGACTGATGCATTGGCTTTCAGAATTGCGAGCAGCAACAATATGAACAAATCAGAAAGCGACCAAGAAGATAATGATGATGTAAACGATAACGATTGGTCGTATGGCTCGGAGAAGAAAGGTGCGTTTAGTCAGTCTGGAGGTAACTAACCCGTGCAGTACTTTAATTACATACAATTTTTCTGTGATCGATTCATAAACCCAGTCTGACTTTTTTTTTCTTTGTTTTATGTTTGTTTTTTTTGTTCCTTCCCTTTTCCCTACCTGTGTGTCTTCACATGTTCATTCTTTAATTTTTCCCAATTGACGTTTGCTGTTGATTCTGGCAAAATTGTGTTTTGTTTTTATTTGTCATCTTCTCATATGCATCTTGTCTTGCTGATCCCTGTGGCCTTTTCCTGTACACCCGTCTTGCTGCCTTCTCTCCTGTTTTTTTTCCTGCCTTGTTCTGTCCCCACTGCTATATATATCTATGTTCTTTCTCTCATTATTTCTCTGTATCTGCTGTACAACTTCCCCCATTTCCAGCAAAGAAGAGGAAATCAGAAAAGGTAAGATATTATTTTTTTTTTTTCGTCTTTTAAGTGTTTGAAATATAATGGGTAAAGGTTTTATGGGTATATAAAGAGCAGATTTTGTATGGATGCCCCCTGGAGGATTCTGGGACAAGACCTGATAATAATGGTAGGTTTATGTCTTCCATGTGACCTGGATGCATTCTTGGATACTGCTGGGAGTAGCTCAAGCTTAAACTTTTCATTGATGGGGTTAAGGCTAGCCATGGATATGACAACAGAAGAACCTTAAAGATTTGCTGCATTAACCACTTCCCATCCAGCCCATGTATATGAACGGCCGGAGGGGGGAGTGCAGGGGCGGGTGGCCGTTTATAAATGTCTTCCCTGCTTGTGTGCGCTCCCTGGGAGCACGCAGCACCTCAGGACACTGCGGAACACCGATCGCTGTACGGGACCTCTGTGTAAGGTGGCGATCATGTGATCACTGATTGGCCAATCACTGATCACATGAAGAGTAGTAAGCAAGATGTCGCTTCTGACATCATTGCTTACTACATGTGAAATCTGTGAATGATCACAGAGGTCACATGATACAAGGCTATTGACAACAGCCTTGTACCATGTGACAAGCTGTGACCAATCACAGCTCACACAGTATTTCTCCATGGCTGCAGGAATGCAGCCAGAGAGGAGAAATGATTGCTTTTACACCCATAAAGGCTGTAAAAGCAATCGGTGTAAAATAAAATAAAAAAAATCTTCATCACCCCCCACAAGTAGTACAGTGTCACTATGGTATGGACAGTATGTAAAAAAAATTTAGAATTATAATTTTTGGTTATAAACTAGTTTTGTTTTTGTACTAAAAAGATAATGAAAGAAATTTTGGCCAAGATTTATGAAAGCTTATTTACTTGCAAAATTTTATAAGAAACTTTTTTTTTTTTTTTTTTTTTTTTTTCAAAATTTGACTTTTTCATTCATATAGCCAAAAAAAAAATCCCAATGTTGAATAAATACCACCAAAATAAAGTTTTTTTTTTTCTGTCTCTAAAAAATTCATATGGGTACAGTGTTGCATGGCCACGCAATTGTCATTCAAAGTGTGATAGCACTGAAAGCTGAAAATTGGCCTGGGCAGAAGGGGGTTAAAGTGTCTGGACTTGAAGTGGTTAAACTCATAACTAACGTATACTGTGGAAGTCATGCCAAAGACAAGCAGAGGGCAAAGAACTAGTCGCCAATATTACCTGTAGACTCCCTGATGTATCTCCAGGACTGGCCTATGGTTCCTTTTAAGGCTGTCATGATAATGCCTAACCATGGCCTTTGTTTGCCAGAGAGCTGCCTAGGAAACCTCCAGATTAGACTTTATACCTAATCGGGACGTTCTTTACATTGGGGTTCCCTTCAACCATGTCTTGTTTTACACTGTGTGTCTGTGTGGAGTTGGCCATTTTGGTAAAGGAGCAGGTCTTTGCTGGTCATCAGGCACAGCAATCTTCAGCGGACCCTCGGAGCAGTGAGCACCACATTAGTGACCTCTCTTGTTAGGTTAGGTGTGCCTAGGCACATGACAAAAAGTAAAAAAAATATTTATTGGAAGGATAAAAAGTAAGTATCGTACTCAAAATTGACATACAGGTCAAAGGCACATCACACTAAACAGCGGTGTCCAATCCACACTGCATATAAGTCCGTAAATGGAACCCTGGACTTCCAACAGGCTAACGTGTTTCGAGGACTCAGCCCTTTGGGCTCTGAGGAAGAGGCTGAGTCCTCGAAATGCGTTAGCCTGTTGGAAGTCCAGGGTTCCATTTACGGACTTATATGCAGTGTGGATTGGACACCGCTTTTTAGTGTGATGTGCCTTTGACCTGTATGTCAATTGTGAGTACGATACTTGCCATATTTTTCGCCGTATAAGACGCACCTGACCATAAGACGCACCTAGGTTTTAGAGGCAGAAAACAGGAAAAAAAAAAAAAAAATTCTGAACTAATGGACTACAGGGACACAGCACAGGGATGACCAGAGACTGCGGACAGCACAGGGATGACCAGAGACTGCGGACAGCACAGGGATGACCAGAGACTGCGGACAGCACAGATGACTGCTGACCTTTGGGGAGGTGGGGAGCGGGTACCTGAATTTGACAGGTACCCGCTCTTACTTTCGCAGAGTTTTTGTTTGATCTTACCTGTTCCTCGATCCAGCCGCGCGCTGTCTTCCCGGCTTCTGTAATGGCGCTCGGCATGACAGCCGGGTGCCCAGTGCGCATGAGCGAGAAGCACTTGCGCTTTGTGATTGGTCCGGCGGCTTCTGGGATCTGTCATGTGTCCCAGGTACCGCCTTACCATTCACAAAAAGCACCGCTTCTTGCGCATGCGCACTTGGCACCAGGCTGTCATGCCCAGTGTCCACACTGCAGAAGCCGGGAAGACAGCACGCCGCTGGATAGAGGAACAGGTAAGGTCCCGCTGCAGAGCTGAGCGGCCGGCCCAGTATTCTGACACGGCCGCGGTGGAAATACCAGACCGGCCGCTCCATATTCGCTCTATAAGACGCACTGACATTTCCCCCCCAGTTTTGGGGAAGAAAAAGTGCATCTTATACGGCAAAAAATACGGTACTTTTTATCCTTCCAATAAATATTGTTTACGATAATGCACTAGGCCGCTGCGCCCTTGGTTTGTTTTTTCTTTGTATACAGTGACATTGGACTACCCCGATCCATTGAGGGCAGCAAGGAATGCATTTTCCTGCGTTGTTACCATAGCCCTAGCTCAGTCCATCCCCAAATGCAGGAGTACAGTTTGCTGTGTTTACAAAGTGCAATGGTATTTATCTGCAATAAATTTAGACAATAAGTGGATTTTTCAGCGTACTCACAATTCACCTTTTGTAGACATCTCCTATAAGATGGCAAATCCACTTTAATTGAAGTTACATTATACTTTGACTCCGTACCATTTTCTAATCCATGTCTAGTGAATATATTTCGATCAGTTGTAACGCTGTGAGCACTCACCATATGCCATCGAGGCATGGACTCCACTAAGACCTCTGAAGGTATGCTGTGCTATCTGGCACCAAGCCAGCAGTAGCAGATTCTTTAAACCTTTCCCTGGCAGGTCCGTACATCATATGGACCTAATATCGAGGGGGTTTACATACAATCCAGTGGCTGCAGCCACCAGGATTGTGTATAAAACTGACAAGCAGACTCCTGTCTATAAGGTGGAAGCAGTTGGGCAGCTGCGCTGCTGCCCAATTGTTTCCACACACCCCCAGTAATAGCGCCCCCACCATGTATTCCATGCTCCGATGACCTGGGGTTGACATGGCGGGTGGAGGGTATGGAGGAAAGTGGACACCCGTCTGCTCTTTTTCCCCTTCTTGCTGTGACCCAGAAAGTGACTTGTAAATCTGGAAAATTTTGTGGTGAAGTCAACACCTCAAACTAGTCCTGTTCCTCAAACCATTTTTGAGTTCACTAGACACGGCCACCTTCTTTCATTGCTCCGTGGTCCAGTTCTGATGCTCCTGTGCCTGTTGTAGGTTCTTTTGGCTGTGGACACTGGTCAGTATGGACACCCTGAACAATCTGCAACTACGCAACCCATACACAACAACCTGCGATGTACTGTGTGTTCTGATACCTTTCGATCAGAGCAAGCATGACATTTTTCAGCAATTGGAGCTTATAGTAGCTCTTCTTTTGGATCGAGCTACATGGGCCATCCTGTGCTGCCCACATACATCCGTGAGCCTTGACTGCCCATGATCCTATCGCTAGTTTGCCTTCTTTAGGTAGGTCCTGACCACTGCAGATCAGAAACATCCCACAAGAGCTGCAGTTGTGGAGATGTTGTGATCAAGTTGTCCAGCCATCATCATATGGCCCTTGTCAAAGTTGCACAAATTCTACACACACACACACACACACACACACACACACACACACTTTTTTTTTTTTTTTTTTTTTGTTCTACTTACAACACATCAACTTCAGGGACAACATGTTCACTTGCCTTATGCATCCCACCCACTTTCAGGTGCCATTGTACCAAGATAATCAGTCTTATGCACTTTTACCAGTTAGTGGCCTTAATGTTATGGCTTGTATCTCTCCCATCATCTTCGTTTGTATGCTGCCTTGTAGCACTGGGGTCCTCAGTTTGAAACCCGTCCAAGACCCTAAGCGCAGAGTTTGCACGTTCGCCTGTGCTTGCATGGGTTTCTTCTCCCGCACTCCAAAGACCTGCTAGTAGGTTAATTGACTACTTTTTGAATTGGCCCTAGAATGTGAGATTCCCTTGAGGGATTGATTACCTTTTAGATTGGTGGCCAAGGCTGGCATTTTTGAAGAAGCTAAAGTACGTACGTAGAGGTAGTCTTCTCCCAATCTTACGGTTGTCAACTAGCTTGGGTGTCGATCATCTCGTATCTATGGCTAGTTGAAGGACGAGGAAGAGTTTTAGGCCCAACCCACTGGGGGCTGGCTAAAGATTATATTGGGAAGTTAGATCTCCTTCATACAAATACTTGGCAGAGTTTGGTAGAGAAGAGTTTCTCAGCTCCATGAATATTGGTTCAATGGTTGACCACACTGTGCCTCTATCTACCAAATTCTATTTACTACCGATTTTTTTTTTTTTTTTTTTTTTTTTTTTGTTTTTGTCAAGTTGGCTAGCTTTTCTTGTTACTGATGGTGCTTATATGTAAATTTATTTCCTCTTTCAGAATCCAAATTCCCCACGGAGATCAAAGTCCATAAAACACAAAAATGGTATGCAATTATAATGTATCTGATTTAATAGCAGCAATGTTGGGAAGTGCTTAGATAAGACATTGGTTGCCTTCTGTCAGTTTCAGATCACTATTCATTCCCTTTAAAGTGTTACTAAACCCCAACCCATGCAGACCCTGCATGCATGCACTATATCTGGTCTCCCCGGACCCTGCATGCACTATATCTGGTCTCCCCGGACCCTGCATGCACTATATCTGGTCTCCTCCCCGGACCCTGCATGCACTATATCTCCCGGACCCTGCATGTCTATCCGGTCTCCCCGGACCCTGCATGCACTATATCCGGTCTCCCCGGACCCTGCATGCACTATATCTCCGGGTCTCCCCGGACCCTGCATGCACTATATCTGGTCTCCCCGGACCCTGCATGCACTATATCCGGTCTCCCCGGACCCTGCATGCACTATATCCTGGTCTCCCCGGACCCTGCATGCACTATATCCGGCCTCCCCGGACCCTGCATGCACTATACACTATATCCGGCCTCCCCGGAACCCTGCATGCACTATATCCGGCCTCCCCGGACCCTGCATGCACTATATCCGGCCTCCCCGGACCCTGCATGCACTATATCCGGCCTCTCCCCGGACCCTGCATGCACTATATCCCCGGACCCTGCATGCACTATATCCGGCCTCCCCGGACCCTGCATGCACTATATCTGCCTCCCCGGACCCTGCATGCACTATATCGGCCTCCCCGGACCCTGCATGCACTATATCCGGCCTCCCCGGACCCTGCATGCACTATATCCGGCCTCCCCGGACCCTGCATGCACTATATCCGGACCCCATGCACCCGGCCTCCCCGGACCCTGCATGCACTATATCCGGCCTCCCCGGACCCTGCATGCACTATATCCGGCCTCCCCGGACCCTGCATGCACTATATCCGGCCTCCCCGGACCCTGCATGCACTATATCCGGCCTCCCCGGACCCTGCATGCACTATATCCGGCCTCCCCGGACCCTGCATGCACTGCACTATATCCGGACCCTGCATGCCCCGGACCCTGCATGCACTATATCGGCCTCCCCGGACCCTGCATGCACTATATCCGGCCTCCCCGCACCCTATGCACTATATCCGGCCTCCCCGGACCCTGCATGCACTATATCCGGCCCCTCCCCGACCCTGCATGCACTATATCCGGCCTCCCCGGACCCTGCATGCACTATATCCGGCCTCCCCGGACCCTGCATGCACTATATCCGGCCTCCCCCGGACCCTGCATGCACTATATCCGGCCTCCCCGGACCCTGCATGCACTATATCCGGCCTCCCCGGACCCTGCATGCACTATATCCGGCCTCCCCGGACCCTGCATGCACTATATCCGGCCCTCCCCGGACCCTGCATGCACTATATCCGGCCTCCCCGGACCCTGCATGCACTATATCCGGCCTCCCCGGACCCTGCATGCACTATATCCGGCCTCCCCGGACCCTGCATGCACTATATCCGGCCTCCCCGGACCCTGCATGCACTATATCCGGCCTCCCCGGACCCTGCATGCACTATATCCGGACCCTGGCCTATATCCCCTCCCCGGACCCTGCATGCACTATATCCGGCCTCCCCGGACCCTGCATGCACTATATCCGGCCTCCCCGGACCCTGCATGCCTATATCCCCGGACCCTGCATGCACTATATCCGGCCTCCCCGACCCTGCATGCACTATATCCGGCCTCCCCGGACCCTGCATGCACTATATCCGGGCCCGGACCTCCCCGGACCCTGCATGCACTATATCTGTTAAAAATAAATAGTGTAGAGCTAATAATACTAACCATTACGTGTTACAATGCACAAACTCTATATACATCCCCTACATATATATATATCCAAGGTGATAAATCAATACATAAATAATAAAATAGTTCTGTCATACGTGAATTCCCTTATATTTAGTGAAAAAAGTGACAAACACACTCCTATTTGCACATTGTGAAACAATATGTATACTGGTGCACAAAATTAGTGAACAAATAATCAATTCAAAAAGTCCAAAATGATATAATAGTAATACGATAATTTGTGGTGATCCTCACACTTCACTCTTCATGCAAAAATATATAATGTGCCGTATACGTGGTACACACGTGCCAATCCTTTACCAGCCAAAATACCCCCTCACCTCCTTCATTAGACCCCTGAGGGTGTATTTTTATAGGAAGTGGGGAGGAAAAAATGTTAGATCAGGTAGAACATAGTCTTAGGAACACTGGCTGTGTTTTAAGTTCCCAGGGAAGATGTAGTGCTGATGCTGGGGTACAAAACTTGTGACTTGTGTCATTTCTTTGTGTGTTGTGTTTTTGTTTTTTTTGTGTTTTTTGTTTGTTTTTTAAGATCTGTATCGATTTTATATATATATATTTTTTTTTTTTCCTTTTTTTAGGCGATCTCTCGGTTAACACTGACCAATTTAAGGTACAGTCCTGGCTCCTGTTTGGCTCCCAGGGTTTATGTTCAATTTCTAGTTGCAAAGCAGTAACTGGATAACCATAAAAGATAGAAAAAAGATCCTTCTACTAATTGTGAAGTATAACATTGCTTCATAAAATGTCAGGTTTACCACAGTGACGGGGGCCACTCCACCCGTTACTGTTGTGAAAAAAAAAAGTATCCAAATGTTGGGTTAGTTGATAAGGACTTTATTGCATGACCCCCTCGCTCCGAGTGTAAAATTACAGGCACTGGTCTGACCAAATAGCATGAGTGCTGCTATGGGCAGCACAGTGTCTAAATGGTTAGCACTTCCGCCTGGCAGTACTAGGATCGTTGGTTCAAATCCCAACCATGGCACCACCTGCCTGGAGTTTTGCATGTTCTCCCTGTGCCTGCGTGGGTTTCCTCCCACACTCCAAAGACATGCTGGTAGGTGAATTGGCTCCTGTCTAAATTGTCCCTAGTATGTGTATGTATGAATGTGAGTTAGGGACCTTGGATTGTACACCCCTTGAGGGTTAGGGACTGATGTGAATGTACAATATATATGTAAAGTGCTGCATAAATCGATGGCACTACCTGAAATAAATAAATAAGCAGTTTGATATGTAACTTAGTACCAGTTCTGAGAGTTGGCAGTCTGTTGGCAGCCAGGAATCTGAGCCCTGTAATATGTCTGAGTGACAGTGATGGCTTCAGGTGTCTATATGTGCCTTCCTGTTGACACACCGTCCCAAAGAAGTAATACCTTCCCTTCCTTTCTGCCGCAAAGCCATGGCTTTCCTCCAGCTATCAACTCTGTCTTCAGTTCCTGGTATCCTATAGTACAACAGAGTGAATCTCCATTCCATGCTAAGGTGCTGTATGGGGACCAGAGCTGAACAGTTGCTGGATGGGAGACCCAGAATCATAAGTTGTGAAATAACAATGCAACCTAGAAATGTGCACATATGTTCTGGCCTGATCTAAAGGTACACGCAAAGTTCTCAGACTAATGACCTATTCCAGCATCTTTCTTTCAAACCTTATGCAGGCCATAAATGGGTCGAAAACTGGCCGTTTAAAAGGAAAAAAAAAAACAAAAAATCGGTCATTCAATAGGCCGATGTTACCAGCAATGGCAAAAAAAAATTGGCTGATTTTCGTCCCGTCCACAGCCGGCATTTAATTCTGTCCCTGCAGAGAGCTCCACTATTATGTTTGACATTAAAAAGTCTTGCGGTTGCAACAATGTATCTATTTGTATCCATTTTGGATACAGATGTTTTTATTCGGATACAAATAGATACATTTTTTGCAACCGCAAGACTTTTCATATAAAATACAATAGCAGACTGAAATTTTTCTTTTTTCTATCTTTTCTGCTTCTCTTTTTCTTCTTTCTCTTTTTCTTCTTTCTCTTTTCTTTCTTTCTTTTCTTTCTTTCCCCTTCCTTTCCCTTCCTTTCCCTTCCTTTCCCTTCCTTCCTTCCCTTCCTTCCTTCCTTCCTTTCCCTTTCCTTCCTTCCTTCCTTTCCCTTCCTTCCTTCCTTCCTTCCTTTCCCTTCCTTCCTTCCTTCCTTCCTTTCCCTTCCTTCCTTCCTTCCTTCCTTCCTTCCTTTCCCTTCCTTCCTTCCTTCCTTCCCTTCCTTCCTTCCTTCCTTCCTTCCTTTCCTTCCTTCCTTCCTTCCTTCCTTCCTTCCCTTCCTTCCTTTTCCTTCCTTCCTTTCCTTCCTTTCCCTTCTTCCTTCCTTCCTTCCTTTCCCTTCCTTCCTTCCTTCCTTTCCCTTCCTTCCTTCCTTCCTTTCCCTTCCTTCCTTCCTTCCTTCCTTTTCCTTCCTTCCTTCCTTCCTTCCCTTTCCCTTCCTTCCTTCCTTCCTTTCCCTTCCTTCCTTCCTTCCTTTCCCTTCCTTTCCCCTTCCTTCCTTCCTTCCTTTCCCTTTTTCCTTCCTTCCTTTCCTTCCTTCCTCCCTTCCTTTCCCTTCCTTCCTCCCTTCCTTTCCCTTCCTTCCTTTTTTCCTTCTCGGTAAAACGATTGGCCGATTTTGCCCATCATTGCTAGGAAAATCAGCCTTTTTTTTTTTTTTTTTTTCCTTTTTTTTTTTTTTTTTTTTTTTTTTTTCCCCCGGACGGTTTTCGACCTGTCTATGACCTGCATTACAGTTACAGTAAAGCCAGCCATACACGGGTTAAATTCCGAAAGCATTTTCTTTCAAAAAATCTTTTCTAAGAATTTTCGTTCGAATTTCGCAGCATTAGTGGGTCACAGAAACTGCCGATTTTTTTCGTGTGACCATCAAATTTGAGTGATCGGGCATGTTGGAAATTTTTTGAAAAACGAGCGAATTTCGAATCGATGAAGGGAGAATCGTGCGGGAAATATAAATGAAAAAGAAATGAGCTGTGACCTGGAAAGAAAAGAGAATTCTTGGCTGCGAAAATTCTTTTCTGCAGCAACATGAGGAGAAATTGAAAGCTTGGTTGGTTGAATTTCGAAATCAATGGTGGCACCATCGGGTTACAAAACGCACAAAATTTCTTTTTTTCTAGAGAAAATTTGTTTGGAATTCGACCCGTGTATGGCCTGCATAGGAGTGAAAATATGACCTAAAGCCCCTTGTTTGAGGACTGGGCTTTTACTGGCTGTGACATCAGCGGGATTAAAATCTGAGTCAATAGTGATGTCACGGATGGCAAACTAGATGCTCTGTGCTGATTGGAGGTCTTCACTGCTTTACATTGTATTGGCTACTCTTACAGTTGTGCCAAATTATTGGAATGCTCGTTCTTACTGCTGTTTTTTTTATTTAAATTGCTATTTGAATATAATTTTTAATTAAATTATATTCTAATATCCAAGTAAAATTTTTATATATTTATTTTTTTTTCTTTAGCAGTATAGTAACAATTCTGGAATTAGTTACGAAAACCTTGGGCCAGAAGAGCTCCACACACTGCTAACGACGGTAAGGGTTGCAGGCATCCAGGGTTAAAGTGTTCATGAAAACATCCCCTCCACCCCCTTCAATTTAATCTGTGTTTTTAGTTTTGTCCGGTCACATGATCCCCCTGTGTCAGTGAGCAGCGGCTGCAGGGGAGAGGAGTACTGGACAACGGCTGGGAATTCAGGAAGCCATGATGTCACTCAGACTCCCATGATGCAGCCATTGTCGACACTCCCTCTCCCCTGCAGCTGCAGTTCACTGACACGGGAGCCAAACCTGTGGGATCATGTGACTAGACTGGAATAAAAAGGGGTAAGTATACACTTCTTATCTTACACAGGATAGGAGGACATGGGGAGAGAACATAATAAATAAATAATATATATATATATATATATATATATATATATATATATATATATATATATATATATATATATATATAAAAATTTATTATATTTTTCTTTAAGCATAGTTAGTTTTTTTGGCAGAAATGTTAGTTATTTAAAACAGAAGAACTGTAAATGAGTTTTAGAAATAACCAACATTTCTGCCAAAAACTAACTATGCTTAAAAAAAAAAAACAAAAAAAAAAACGCTTTTTTTTTTTTTTTTTTTTTTTTACTCCATATTCAAAAAGCAACAGCGTCGATAAAGCAGAGTAAGGGCTCGTTCACACTTGACTGTTTTACCAACTCTTGCCTAACGCCCCTATAGCATTTGGCAAGCATTTGCGGAGCGTTTTTAGCGCTCGGCAAACGCCGCATGCGCGGTTCAGCGGCGGTTGCTAGGCGTTTGCCGGGCGTTAAAAAGGCCCCACAAACGCCTATAATGAAGTTTGAATGGTGTTACTGCTCCGCAAACGCCGGCCAGGCCAGGCGTTTGCGGAGCGGCACCATAGACTAGAATAGGAGGCTTCAACATCTCCTGACTCGGTCAGAGGCGTCCGTTTTGAAGTGACGCTAACGCTACCGTTAGAATAGCACTATGTGCAGAATTGTCCGAGGTGTTTGGGAAGCGGTAAAAAAAACGCTTCCCAAATGCCTCTCTGCCACCTGCACACAACGCTAGTGTGAACGTAGCCTAACCCCATCCACAGGCTCTATTTCTGGTCTCGTCTGCCCCTTTCACAAGTTCATGCTGAATAATCCTTGTATTATGTAACTTTTACATCCTATATAAAATGGCTACGCTGAGGATCTGCCACAATCTGCCTACATCCATCCAAAATGAAGGATTTTCTTTTAATGTTCGTTATTTAAAACAGAAGAACTGTAAATGAGTTTTAAAAATCACCAGCATTAAAAGAAAATCCTTCATTTTGGATGGATGTAGGCAGATTGCGTCCCACCTTTCCGACTAATACTTTTTTCACATCCTTTGGCCGGTCATTGAGGTCTGAATTTTTTGTATATTTGGAGGATCTGTTTAGATCTGCAGCGTGGCCATTTTATATAGGATGTACATAATACAAGGATTATTCCGCATGAACATGTGAAAGGGTCAGACGAGGCCTGAAACATAGCCTGTGGATGGGGTTACTCTGCTTTATTGACGCTGTTGCTTCGAATATGGAGAAAAAAAGTTGTGTGGTGTGGTTTTTTTTTTTTTTTTTTTTTTTTTTTTTTTATTTGTGATGGAGTTTTGCACTCCAGAGGTGCGTAGTGGGATGGATGATTGTTAGAGTGTACAGACAATCTGGTTTTCAGTAGATTTTATTTCTAGGCACCTTGGTCTCTCACATGGAGGACGTCAAACCACTATGAAGAATATAAGTTCTGGGGTGTGGCACCACAAGTGTGATCATGCCCCACAGTCATTTTCCAATAGCAGAAAACAAAGTGTATTGTTGCTGAGTCACACAGGCACAATACGTGTGATGGCATGCTCAAAGAACATTGCATGAATGCTTGCAACCTAAGTTTTTTTTTTTTTTTTTTTTTTTTTTTTTTTTTTTGGGCACATCGTGTACTTACTTTCAATTGAAAGTGTTCATTGTGCTGTTGGCTGCTGTCTCAGTTGCAATCTTCAGTCTTCTGCCCCCCATGCCGATACTACTACAGCAGTAATCTTCCCTAGCTGCAGGGGTTAACATTGCTGGACCTGTCAAGAGTGCTGACTATGCACCTTTTTCCCTATACAGAAAATTAAATCTCCCTTCACCTGGTTGCATTTTTGATGACTGCATGTTGCTGAGTTTTTTTTTTTTTTTTTTTTTTTTTTTTTTTTTTTTTTTTTTTTAAACTGTGCTATGTAGTGTTCCAATGTCTTTCTGAGTTTGGATTTGTTCTCTTTTAGCAATGTGGAGTCATATCAGAACATACCAAGAAGATGTGCACCAGGTTAGTGGGATGCAGAATGCTTGGAACATCTGACTGCTTTGCAAACTGTGAATTACAAAGACATTAAGGGGTTTATTTACTAAACCTGGTTGACTCAGAATCTTGTCCACTTCTGCATAAAAACCAATCAGCTTCCAGGTTTTATTGCTGAAGCTTAACTGAACATGCTGAGGTTAGAAGCTGATTGGCTACCATGCACAGGTGCCCAAGATTCTGAGTCAACCAGATTTAGTAAATAAACCCCTAAATGTCAAACGTTTCAACTGTAGAAGTCCTTTCCCTTGTGGGTAGATGAAGAGAAACTGGGGGTTATAGCAAACGCCTATATTGGTGTCCACATTTTCTTTAGGGGTGTGTTTTGAATTTTGGAAATTGTCTTTTTATGTTTATAGTTACATATAGTTAGTCTGGCTGAAAAAAAGACAAAAGTCCATCCAGTTCATATACTATACACAAGAACATTTTTATAACACATCACCTTTTCTTTACAGTTTTTCTTAAAATATCTCTTTGGCAAAATTTATATAAAATTCAAAAAGCTTTATGAAGATCTCGTATAACCTCACAAGATGACAATCGCAATGCATTTTATTCCCATTTATAATGCATGTTACCATGTACCAGTGAGTTAGCAGAGCATTATATTTGGTGTAATGGCAATAACACATGCATTTTGGCGATGGTTTTGTGAGGATATAACATTTCATGAAGCTTTTTGTACATTTTATCCATAGAAATATTTTATATAAACTGTAAACACACATGGGCTTGTGTACAGTATATTACATTGACCCCTCAAAAACCGCCCAGTGGTTATTTATTTTTTTCTTCCATTGTTAATTGCATTTGGAATGTGGTGTTGTGAAAATTCTACATGGGGTCTATAGTGTGATTAAAAGCAGTAAAGTAAGGTCACAGGCCTCACTCTTCTGTTTTTGTCCATCCAGTCCTGAGATTTTCACATCCTGCCAAACAGACAATTTCCATATATAGGAAGTAAGCAGGGACTGGAAGCAAACCATACAGATTGCAGACAGTATTACTAATGAGCTAATTACTTTAATTACAGGTCATTACGATGTCCCCAACATACGGATGACCAGCGTAGATCTGTCAGAGTTTACCTCCTAGGTTCCTCCGCGTAAGTGTTAACATATATTGGGCAACCTGGTGTCGGCTAAAAGCTCTTCCATGATTCCATTACTTACACTGCCCTCTCTCGCTCTCCCTGCTCTCCCTGCTCTCCTCGCTCTCCCTGCTCTCCTCGCTCTCCCTGCTCTCCTCGCTCTCCCTGCTCTCCTCGCTCTCCCTGCTCTCCTCGCTCTCCCTGCTCTCCTCGCTCTCCCTGCTCTCCTCGCTCTCCCTGCTCTCCTCGCTCTCCCTGCTCTCCTCGCTCTCCCTGCTCTCCTCGCTCTCCCTGCTCTCCTCGCTCTCCCTGCTCTCCTCGCTCTCCCTGCTCTCCTCGATCTCCCCGCTGCTCTCCCTGCTCTTCGCTCTGCTTCCTCTCTCCTAGATCTCTACCAGAACCCGATGGCAGTACAGACAATGACAGCTTTGATGTGGTGGAAGGGCAGGGCCTAATGGGTCGACTTCCATGGGATGGATCCTCTGATATCTCTCCATCCGACTCGGCCTCATCCAAAGCCAGTAAGATCTTTGAAGAGGGAGGGAGAATTAAAGGGAAACTGTAATGGTTTAAAGCTAATGGTATCATTTTAATTCGTAGTTTTTCACATTTTGTGTTTTTATAAGTAAGGTTTTTTTATATATTTACAGTATTTTATAATCATATAAATTTTATATATTAACTTGGCGTTACTAAACTCCAAACAGTAAAATCAGTCTGTATATGCACTGAAAGCATGCTTTTTATGCTCATTGGGGAACCTAAGGGGTTAATCCTCTGTAAAAAGGCTGATTGATCCTGTCTTGATCCTCCCCTTTTGCTGTCCCCAATCCATCTACCATAGTTAGAGCAACAGTGGCAAGTCTGCACATGCTCTTTGTGGTATGTATTGCTAGAGGGTTTTTTTTTTTTTTTTTTTTTTCTTTGGGAGGGTGCATGTTGTTATCAACACAGGGCCAATTAGCACTGTCCAGACAGAGGGTCAGAGGTTATGTAGCCCCATAGAACAGTCAGAAGAGAATGAAAACTCCTACAAGATTAACCAGTGCTCAGCCAGACACTGATAGATATCACAAGACTGCTATATACTGCTGATGAGAAAAGCTATTTAGCAGTTTATATTTACTAAAATAATTACATTTCCATGTTGTGTGTACTGTGGGAGACCAGATATAGTGAGTGCGGGGTCCGGGGAGACCAGATATAGTGAGTGCGGGGTCCGGGGAGACTGATATAGTGGATGCGGGGTCCAGGGAGACTGATATAGTGGATGCGGGGTCCAGGGAGACTGATATAGTGGATGCGGGGTCCGGGGAGACTGATATAGTGGATGGGGGTCTGGGGAGACGGGATATAGTGAATGCGGGGTCCGGGGAGACGGGATATAGTGAATTGCGGGGTCCGGGGAGACGGGGTATAGTGAATTGCGGGGTGGGGGGAGACGGGGTATAGTGGATGCGGGGTCCGGGGAGACGGGGTATAGTGGATGCGGGGTCCGGGGAGACGGGTATAGTGGATGCGGGGTCCGGGGAGACGGGGTATAGTGGATGCGGGGTCCGGGGAGACGGGGTATAGTGGATGCGGGGTCCGGGGAGACGGGGTATAGTGGATGCGGGGTCCGGGGAGACGACGTATAGTGGATGCGGGGTCCGGGGAGACGACGTATAGTGGATGCGGGGTCCGGGGAGACGACGTATAGTGGATGCGGGGTCCGGGGAGACGACGTATAGTGGATGCGGGGTCCGGGGAGACGACGTATAGTGGATGCGGGGTCCGGGGAGACCACATATAGTGGATGCGGGGTCCGGGGAGACCACATATAGTGGATGCGGGGTCCGGGGAGACCACATATAGTGGATGCGGGGTCCGGGGAGACCACATATAGTGGATGCAGGGTCCGAGGTTTAGTAACACTTTAATATAATAATATATTAACTTGATATGCTATAATTTTCTTTTTTGAATGAGGAAGGAAGAATGAGTCATTGTAAAGTTCACCTTGAGCTATCAAGACTGTAAATTGCAGTAACAAAATGAAAATAAATGCAATCCCACTACACCTACTAGGTTTATATTAACGTGAAAACTGTGTTCCAGTGAAGCCCCTTGGATCATTGGCTCAGGCTGTACATAAATCCTTTACAGGGCCTAATCTGCAATGAGCCAGAAGTAAAGTGTTTGGCCCTTCTTCGACCAAAGTGTAGTTTGGCAGCTTTTGCACTTTTAAAGTCCTGGAGTTTAAAAAAATAAAAATAAAATGGAAGCACAGGCCCTTGACTATTCCCAGTCTTTATTTTATACAGATCTAACTGGTTGGTTGCTATGGGCCATGCCTTTTTTTTTTTTTTTTTTTTTTTTTTTCCCCCCTCCAGTTTTTATTCTTTATCTTCCATGGGTTAAATGTTCAGCTGTTTTTTTTTCCCTTCTTTTGTCAGCAATGAATGATAACTTGTTCCATATATTCCCTGTCTGCTGCTTCCCAGGCACAAATAACTCAGACACCCGAAAACCCAAGAAGAAAAAGCCAAGTCATATCAGCATGGGCAGCGCAGGTGGTGGCGGCGCCAGTAAAAAGAAGAAACCCAAAGCCCCAGCCCCGCACACACCCGGAATGTACAGTGAACTCAACTGAGACAAAAGGACGTTGCAATGCTATGAACCAGAAGCCGGTGGGCCTGTTTGTGGACAGGCAGTTGCCTTCATAGCCCATTGGCTGCAAATGGTTAAAAACAGGCTCACCCCCTCTCAAGTGATAAACCTTCTACTGTGAAAAAAAAGAAAAAGCAGCGTCTGTATGACAGGAAGACGTAATGCCTTACGTAAGGCAGAGTACAAATCTCCATCAGTTTTTTTTTTTTTTTTTTTTTTTTTGACATCTTGTGCTGCCATGTTGTGTATGCCATATCGCTGCTGCCTGGCTGCCAGTAGCGTCATGCCCAATCGTGGAAACGTGGCTGTGGCAAAGAGCTGGGTGGGGAAAACGGGGGTGGGCCGTGGAGAACAGAGGGTATAAATGGAGTTTCCTCCCTTTGTCGAAGTGTTAGACCTCTGCTGCTGTGTCGTATAGCGACATCAGGTCTTTCAGTGGATAACTGGACTTTTTATTTTTTTTTTTTTTTTCTCTCCATGAGGCGACAGGGCTCTGCCCTCCCCGTGCTGTAACTCTCATCTCTGGAACTTTCTGGAATGCGAGGCCGTAAACTTGAAGACTTGCAAAAACCACACGTGACCTCATCACTTCAGACGCGAAGTGTTCTAGGTGTTTGGTGTGCGGGCCCTGGTGCCGGTCGGGGGGGCGGCCCGATCGAAGTGTATCTGCCTCTGGCAGGTGGAGGGGGTTGAAAGGATATCTTGCACGTATTAAAAAGACAAAAACAAAAAATCACACTAAAGTATTTCATTGCAAACCCATGTGCTTCATTGTAAATGTGTATAATGGGTGCATCCATCACATTGTATTGTAAGGAGAATCGTGTAAAGGCAAAAGGGACTTTGGCCACCGACGGGTAAATGAGGTCATATTGCTGTAGGCGTAATCTGACAGTGTTCACACAGGTGATTGTTTTTGTTGTGATAAAGACAAATGAAATTGAATTCACTGTGTTTCCTATGGCTGATGGGGGCGGGAAGGGGGGGCGCAATGCTATGTTTTTAAAGCAGACCTGGCACATGCTTGGGTAAGTGGAAAGAAATCCCTAGCAGCTATTGAGTGTCACCCTGTACCTTTGTTGGTGTTCTTCCCTGTTATCACAATGTGCACAGCAGCCCCTGGAAAGTGGGAAAGTGATCTACACCAAAGAACAAAAATGTAATCTGCTGCTTACCAGGTAATGTGGCTTCAATAAAGCCGTATTCAGGCCAAAAGCAAGCATTTATTATATTGCAGCTTACCAATTCTTAGATGTGATGGCTGCGGTTGGTTTTTTTTCTTTTTATTCATTTTAGCTACTTGTATAGCGCCGTCTATTTACACAGCACTTTACATATATATTGTACATTCACATCAGTCCCTAACCCTCAAGGGGTGTACAATCTAAGGTCCCTAACTCACATTCATACATACACATACTAGGGACAATTTACACAGGAGCCTAGTTAACCTACCAGCATGTCTTTGGAGTGTAGGGGGGGAAACCGGAGTACCTGGAGGAAACCCACGCAGTCACAGGGAGATCATGCAAACTCCAGGCAGGTGGTGCCGGGGTTGGGATTCGAACCAGCGACCTGATTACTGCCAGGCGGAAGTGCTACCCATTTAGCCACTGTGCTGCCCATAGCAGCACTCATGCTATTTGGTCAGACCAGTGCCTGTAATTTTACACTCAGAGCGAGGGGGTCATGCAATAAAGTCCTTAACTACCCCCAGGCTTGCTTTCTTCCATTTTCATCTCGTGATCCAGCCAGCAAGTCTGTGTTTTTTTTTTTTTTTTTTTAAAGCACAAGCTCTCCAGCAGAATGTGCCAGTTACAGAGGTGAGACATACCATTTAACACTGGCAGGGGTGCTTAAAATGATCCCGTCTTCCTTTTGAGATAAAGATTTTACATGAATAAATAAAACCGCTGTTTGCTGAAAGTGTGAGCTGGGCTTTGGTTGTAATTAGTGTATTTAAATCGGCGAAAATATATTCAACCCTAGTCAGATCACAAGTGAAAACAAAGATGGGGGGGGGGGCCTAAGAAAAGAAAAGAAATACAGCCACTACATCTAATGATTTGTTGGCTGCAGTATATAATATTGTTGGTTTTGAGTTCAATACTGTGTTTTTTTTTTTTTTTTTTTTGTTTCCCCCCCCCTCTCCTTTATTTGTACCTGGTAATCTTGCCAGTAACACACATCCTGTCCTAGTGTGACACGCTCACTTACTGTCCTGCACCTATGGAGGAGCATTATTGTCACACTAGGACAGGACTACAGAACAGCTGCCACTGTAACATGAGGGTGGTGATGTTCAGTCCAGAGAGAACTGGGAACAATGCTAAGAAGAGCTATCGGTTCACAAGATTTCTGGCATGTTGGCAGATTATGTGTGTATGTATGTATATGTGTGTGTATATGTTTGGTTGAGGTTATTGCTGCCAAAGGAGGGTTAACCAGTTATTAAGTCCAAAGGTTCACATACTTTTTCCTCCCTGCACTGCGAATGTTTACATGTTATGTGCAATTAAACCATGGCAACATCTAATGTTTGTGTAGTATTATGTTCAGCAGACTGTGTTCTTCTATTGTTGTGACTTAGATGACGTTCAGAGCACATTTGTGACAATAATGCTCCTCCATAGGTGCAGGACAGTAAGTGAGCACATTTTATGCCCAATTCATGCAAAACTCCACGTAATCCCAAGGGGTTCACATACTTTTTCTTGCAACTGTATGTGTGTATTCTCTATCTCTGCCAACATGCCAGAAATCTTGTGAACCGCTAACTCTTCTTGGTTAGTATTTTTTAGTTATTTTATTTTTTTTTTATACTACTTTTGAACAATTAGAACTTAGTGGTTGTAAACCTCTGACATAAAATATGAACAAAGTATAACCCTCTAGCGTGCAATTGACTCAATTGAGAGTGCTAAGTGTCATTTTTGTCTGCAGCTTCCTATGCTATTGGCATGAGTCACTTCTTCCAAGTTTACTTGACACCAAGAGAAAAAAGGTAAGGGGAGGGAGCTCCATCACACAGCCTGTGATTGACAGGTCCAGCTGTGTGTGTGGGGATGTTCTTTCAATCTCCTCCCCTCCAATAAGCTCTCAGACCTCTCCTCACTGAGCTCTGCAGTGTGTAATTTCAGCTTCCCGCCCCCTGCTCTCTGGAAGCTAAGACAAGCTGTATAAATTCTGGACATTGAATGGATATAGAGAAGAGAAGACTGCAGATAGACAGACAGGTAAAACTTATGTAGGAGGTTTCATCTGCAAGTTCATCAGGAACAACAGCAATTTTCTTTAGTCCATTGTGTGTTGGTATTGGGCACTTCTAAAAACGGTCATTGTTGGCTACAGTGTCAGAGGGTCTTGTTGCCTAAGAGTATCCACTTGAGCTCTGAAATATTTTACCCTCTTTGTCACAAGGGCATTTTTTTTTTGCTATTCAGCACTGCTCTACTTGTACTGGCAATTGCGTGGTCATGCAACACTGTACCCAAATTAAATTTTATATCTGTGTTTTTTTTTTTTTTCTTTCCTTTTTCCCACAGACAGAACTTTCTTGGTATTTGATCATCAATGTTTTTTTTTTTTTTTATTATGCAAACGAAAAATGACCATAAATTAGGGGGGGGGAATGTATAATATATGTGTTTTTTTTTTTTTTTTTTTGTGTGTCTTATTTTTTTTAATACTAGTAATGGCGGTGATCAGCTGCTACTTTATAGTGGGACTGTGAACATGCGATGGGCAGTCTGACACTTTGGGAATTGACCCACACTGACATCACCAGTGACACTAATACAGTGGTTAGTGCTAATAATACATGCTTTCACTGTACTAATGACACTGGCTGGGAAAGGGCCATCAAAGGGTTAACTGTGTGCCCAAAAATGTTTACTGTGTGATGTACATGTTTTTACACTCTGTTTTGCAGGGAGAAAAAAAAAAATCTGACCTATTGCTGTTGTCTGTAGAAAGCCTTGTGGTGTTTACCAACAGGGCTCTCATCATTTACTCAACCAGTCAGTGGGTCCCAGTCATAAATCATTGGACAGAGCCACAGCTGGGGCAGTGGGTGCACATCCCCCACCCCGAAATGCTGAACTGTGTGTGTATACATGATCCAGAGCAATGGGGCCGCACTGTAGCAGTAAAGATACACTTTGCAGTCCTGAAGTGGGTGTACAGACTAGCTGCATTCCTGTATGGCTATATATATATATATATATACAGTGGGGATCGAAAGTTTGGGCACCCCAGCTAAAAATTTGTATTAATGTGCATAAAGAAGCCAAGGAAAGATGGAAAAATCTCCAAAAGGCATCAAATTACAGATTAGACATTCTTATAATATGTCAACAAAAGTTAGATTTTATTTCCATCATTTACACTTTCAAAATAACAAACAAAAAAATGGCATCTGCAAAAGTTTGGGCACCCTGCAGAGTTAATATCTTGTACTGATCCCTTTGGCAAGTATCACAGCTTGTAAACGCTTTTTGTAGCCAGCCAAGAGTCTTTCAATTCTTGTTTGAGGTATCTTTGCCCATTCTTCCTTACAAAAGTCTTCCAGTTCTTTGAGATTTTTGGGCTGTCTGTCACGCACTGCTCTTCTAAGGTCTATTCATAGATTTTCAATTATGTTGAGGTCAGGAGATTGTGAAGGCCATGGCAAAACCTTCAGTTTACGCCTCTTGATGTAATCCACCGTGGATTTCGAGGTGTGTTTTAGGATCATTATCCATTTGTAGAAGCCATCCTCTCTTTAACTTCAGCTTTTTCACAGATGGCATCAAGTTACTATCCAAAATTTGCTGAAATTTTATTGAATCCATTTTTTCCTTCTACTCGTGAGATGTTCCCTGTGCCACTGGCTGCAACACAACCCCAAAGCATGATTGATCCAACCCCATGCTTAACAGTGGGACAGAGGTCCTTTTCATTAAATTCTGTGCCCCTTCTTCTCCAAACGTACCTTTGCTCATT